TTTGATAGTGTCCTGTTGATGATCATGTGGATCATGGCCAGGTGGCTCAGGGGTCACATTCGAAGCCAACATCACAGCTGCATCTGAGAATGGGCTGGGCTGGCTTATTGGCTTTACTCTCCTGGCTACTGACTGTACTCTGATCCTGGTCAGATCTCTCTGAAAGGGTACCACTGGGCAAGAGGAGATCTAGGTTATCTGTCCTCAGATAATATTTCCTTAAAAGTATTCTCTTAAATGCTAGTTCCATAGGCTGTTAATAGTTACTCCTAGAAAAGATGGTTTCATGGCTAATGGTAGATTAAAACCAAACTGTATTGTTAATACAGGCCTTCTCAGAGCCTTTAAAAGGCTAATATCCATTGTGAATCTCCAAATAGGGGTACAGTGAGCTGCATTTGGAAAATTGCTTTCACAGAGCATCTAACCGGGCTGGCGCTCCTTAAAGCACTTGCTAGGAAGCACCAGCGGCCACAGAATGGCAGGAATGGCAGGGATGGACCATACAGGACAGGTCTTTGTCACCTATCATCATGGGGGGGTGTCCTATTCAGACTGCTCTGTGTATTATAAGAACAACTCAGAGTGTGTGCTCTGGGGAATCAAACATTTGAGCTGCGAGCAAAGTCATCGGGAGCCCAAACCCCCTGAGCCCACATTTTGACTCGCGAGTTCATGCCCATGACCTTGGCCCAAGGCGTTTCCTTGGCCGCTCTGTAAGCGGCCATTGCTGCCATCCCTATGCCCAGCTGCTGCAGGACTCATATTCCAAGGCCATCTGGACCTCTGGATACACAAGTCCCTTCTGCCCCGTGTTCAGAGAAGAAACAAAGGCTGTCTCCATGTAATAAAGGGGGCCTTGTCCAGGAGCGGCAGGCACATCAGCAGGGACCATGGCCCCCTCCTTCCATGCCCAGCACAGACGTCACAGCTCTCTTCTTCCAAATCTGGAAGCAGAGCCAAAGTCTTGTCAACACAGTAATCCAGGCAGCACTGCCAATTGATTGAGGTCGGCACACAAGAAAACTGATTTACTCTCCCTCGCCTAGACTTGTCCACATCCAGGACGAGGAGCTACACGGAGCTGAATGCCCAGCTGTGGCCAGCTGTGATGATGGTATTGTCTGTCTCTGCTGAGAATTCGGAGAAAGACGTGGGAGATTCCAGAGGAAGAGCAGCCGGAGCCGCTCTGACCGGGATGGCATCTGGCCTGGGTTAGCAGGGCCCCTTCGGTGCTTGTGGGAAATGTCTTTTGAGACCTTTCCATACATTCTATGATGGAGGGTCAGTGATGTCATCTTCACAGGCCGAGGACAAAGGCATTCATTCACTCATGCAAGGGCACTCACCCATTGATCCAATGAGCATTTATTAGGTGCCTACTCTCCTCCAGGTCTAGGCAGCGGCAGCATTTTGGTGCTGATTTCCTCAGGGAGACAGGGTGGAGACACATGTGTTGTCTCTGTTTTGCAAATTGGAACAGTCACCCAAACACAAAACAATGGAGCAACCGGCCTCAGGTCAGTGGACAGGAGAGACAGACTGACACCCAGAGAGGGAGGGCAAATACGAGACACAGGCCAGAAATAGAACCTGATACTCTGCATTCCTTGGCTCGTAAATACCCACGAAAAATGGACCCTGGAGTTTGCAACACTGTCTCTTAGGGCCTAGGAGACCTTATTGGACCTCGTGAGTTGTGAGAAGTACAGAGATGGGGGAGCAGCTGTGGGAGATCATCACAAGGTCAGGGAGTGTGTCCCCGCACGCCTGCAGGGGACGCGGAGACGGGAAGTGAGGAGACGTGGTGTCTAGGCCCAGCCGTTTCAAGTAGCTGTGTCCCTCTGACTGTCCCCTCCCAAGCCTCAGCTTCTCATTTACGAGTGGAGGAGGCTGGACTTTGGTCATGTTTTATGGACCAAACGATACTGCACACAGTGATAACATGCATTTTTGTCCACCCAAAGTTGGTTGTGGCATTAAAGGGAAAGACTGTCCCCGAAGAGCCATCTTCCCCTCTTCCGTGGGAGTAATGCTTTAGCTGGGCACATGGTGGCCTGACTAGATGGTCTGTTTTCCAGATATCCTTGGGCCACTGGGTGGCATGTGATTCGGTCCCGACTAATGGGATCTGAGAGAACATGGGCTGTGCCTTGACTGAGATGTGCCTTCCTTCTGGGTGTGTCAGTCCCCGGCCTCTTTTTCTTCCCCTGGCTGGGAGATGAGGGGACCTGGAGCAGCTGCCCTGGGCTCACAGGTAGAAGCTACCTCCCAGCTCTGGAGTCACCTGCTACCCAGAGAGAAATGAACTGTATCCTGCTTGAGCCCCTGCATTTTGGAGTGTCTTTGTGGGAGCAGTTGGATTGGTACGTCACAGATAAAACACTTCCAGGGTAAAACTTCCCCCAGAGTCGACTGGGTAGTTAATTCTGCTTTCACTTTGGGTTAATCCCTCTGTCTGGCTAGACACTCAGCCTGTCTGAGGTCATTTAAGGATAGTGAGATCTCTGGGGGTCCCTGAAGGATGAGGATGCTGGGTACTAGAACTTCTGGATGAAGAGGAAATGAGGTTGTCCAGGATGGGCAAGGACATGGTGGAGGCCAAGGGTGATCAGGACTCGTGTCAGCTTTGTGCGGCTCACTGAGGCACGTGATTCTGACTCCTGTTTAGGGGAGTGAGCACACTGGGGCACAGTGTTCACAGGGAGCCTTACCTGCTCAGCCCCGGTCACCGTGTAGGCATGCCGACTCACCAGCCCATTCGCCATCCTCGTGGACTCACTCATCGGCTTCAAAGGAGAAAAGCAGACTAAGCATTAAACATTCACACGTTCCTCAAAGACACAGAAAAGCACAATACAGTCAGCAGCTGAGCTGTGGCCAGATGAGAAGCATCCCACTGATTCCAGCATTAGAATGGCTTATATTCCTGGAGCTCTTTCCTAGAGAGGCAAAGTTTGGAGGCTGTTGGGTGGTTGAGGCTCCAGGCATTTTATCTTCCAGAGAACACTTCATGGTGGACAGAATCCCACTGAGTCCTGAGGATCTGGGCTGCTTGCTCCTCCAATCACTCATCATCGAGACACAACACAAAACACATCTGCTGGGCATTTCGGAGGAGTCAGGAAGACCCACCATCTCCTTGTTGTGAGTTTAAAGTGCATCTGAGGTTTCAGATGGCCTTTCAGACTAGGGATGTGTGACTCACAGCACACATTTAAAGAGTGAAGTGTCCTCATGGGGGGCGTTGGCTGTCTTAGAACAAACTCAAATAATTTGGAGGATCATCCAAGCTCTGCCCTTGGAGCCAGTGAGAATCAAACCCCTCCCCCACGGCCACTCCGGATCACACTGTTCCTGGTCACAGGGAAACACTAGGCAAAGGCTTCAGAGTCAGACAACATGTGAACCCTGCTCAGCCACTTGTTGGCTGTGTGATGGTGAGCATTTTGCTTAACCATTCTGAACCCATTTCCTCCTCTGCTAGTGAATTCTGCAGGCCCTCTTTCAGATGGAGGGCTATTGGGGGGATTAAATGAGATGATGATGGTAAAGCACAGCATCAGTGCTCCACCATGACAGCCACTTGGCCACTCCCCTTCCTAGCTGAATGGGCCAGTGGCTGAACACTCCTGAGGAAAGGCTTGGACCACTGCAACGAGATTCCTGTTCTACTCACCCCAGTCAGGGTGCCGCAGGTCATCAGGGAGCCAGCCTCGGCTGCCTTCTTCACCATCATCACCAGGTCAGGCGAGGAGACATGCGGGCTGATGTTGGTGACCACCCCTCCCGAGAGGTCCATCAGGGCGTCAGGGAGGTAGCCATAGTGCAGGTTGACATAGGACCCATGAAACCTGGGCGAAAGAAAGATCAACCCTTGTGGTGCCTTCAATGCCTCCAGGAAGGAAGGTTGCACACCAGACCTCTGCATACTTCCTGGGCGAAGGACTTCCCCATTCACCCCAGGCTAGAGCCACCCACCCACCTTCCATTCCCCTGGATAAGATAAAGTGATGTACCACCCTTACCACTTCCTTCCCCTGGTCTCCCGGGCCTGGGCTGCCCTGCAGGTGGCAGTCTGGTGTAGAGGTTAGGAGCGCAGATGCTGGAGCCACAGGCCTGGGGTCTAATCCCAGTCTCACCAGATATTTAGCTGTTTGGCCCTGGACAAGTTAACTTAACCTCATAGGGCAGGGCTGAGCATCATGCCTGGCATTCAGGAAGCCTTTAATAAATCTCGGCTCTCATTATCCTGAGGATCCACTGTTTCCCACTTAGTTTGGCAACAACGGTAAGTACTTACATGTGCAGGGTCTCTTGCTGGGCACTGAGCGTTCAAAGATGGGTGAGACCCCGTTCCTGCCCTCTAAGAGCCCGCAGTCAACAACCCTGACACCCACCATGGTCACAGGCAGCCTCCGCTCTCACCCTGTGCAAAGCCTGATCCAGAAGCCCCATTCATTCCTAGAACTAACCCACTCACCCCAGAATCCTCAGGCAGTTGACGTCACTGAAGGTAACACAGGTGGGGACAAGTCTTACATAACACAGCCCCAAGACAAACCACTTAAAGCTCTCCTACCTGTTCTCCAAAGCACCTCATCCCCCTCTCCCACGGGCTTGCTACTTCTGGACCTACACCCTGAGAAATGCCTGTCCTTACTGCCCCGTGTCTGCCTTCCTCCCAATTCTCCCCCGACCTGAGTAGCCCGTCCCCTAAGAGCGAGGCAGTTAGTCTCCAGATTCAAAAGCCAAACTGCTCAGGCCCACTCTGGGCTCCCCTCTCATGAGCTCTCAGTCACAGGCAGGATGTTGAATTTTTCAAGGGCCCCCTTTGCTCATCCGGGGAATGGGCACGTGCCAGCCTCAATGGGCAGCTGCAGGGTGCTGCCAGAGGGGGCACGTACAGCACATGGAGGGTGTCTGCTCACAGTGGGGGGGGGCTTGCTGTGGCATCAACAGATCCAGCAAGTCCCTGCTCCCCTGCTTCCACAGCCCAAGTTGTCGCTCCCTTCACAACAGCACTCCCCACTGAGACGCTTCCCCTTCAGAACCACTCATCAGGCCGCTCTGCCTTCCTTGGGTGTCTGTCTGCTATGAGAGCACGTGCATCACCTTGGAAGGGAGGGAGTGCCTTAGGGCCCCCAGGAAGGCTTCTGAGAGGGGACACAGCTCTGAGTTGAGTTTTATTCGGGTTAGCACAGTGGGACGGGCATTCTGGGGAGGAAGAATCAAATTGGGGAGGTTCCTGGAGCCGGAAGAGCACAGTGGGAGGGGGCCAGTGATGGGCTGACTGATGTCCCCTGGAGAGAGGGTGGATTTATCGATCAGAAGAAGAACCACTGAAGCAGAGGCCAGAGGAGGTCAGATTTGTTTTGAGTACTCATGTTCCTGTCAGTGGGGTGAACTGGAAAGGTTGCCATGGAATCCTAAAATATAGGCAGGGGAAACCCACAACAACAAAGAGCTAAGGCCAAGCTGGGCAAGAGATCCTGCCTCCTGGTGTTAAAACCACTCAGTGGGTGTGTCCCTCACCATTGCCCCAGGCCAGGGGCCTGAACGTTCCTGTCCCTGAGGGGCAAGCAGAGGCTGAGCTGCTCACAAGCTGCTGGCCATAGGGAAGCTCCAACTGTGGCTTGCTTTCTAGAAATGCAAAACCATGCGGGGATCATGTGTAGGTCCATCCCTGCCACCACCTCCAGGAGGGTCCTTGGCCTCAGACAAGACCCCTCCCAGTCCTCAGTTGTTCACCCGGAAACAGTGAGGTTGATGGATCAACTCTGGGGCACCTCAGACACCCCTCTCTCACCACATTGCCACCTCAGCCATCACTCCTGGGGATCACCCAGAGTTCATGGAAACTCACTCCAGCAAATACGCATCAAGCTACCACTCTCGATCAAACACCATCCCAGACACAAACGCCGTGCATGGCTGAGAGATTCTTGAATTAACGAAAGCTAAGGAAACACAGAACCTGAGGGTCATTCTACATAAACCAGGTGACAGATGGATTTCAACTTGTTCCTAAACTGGTTCTAAATCTCTTTCTGTCTCTCCCTCTCTCTGACTGGGGTTATGCTCGGTCGGTCTTAGACTCTTATCTCCGGCGTGTTTGCTCAGTCAATGGCAAAACTTCCCTTTGGCTAGGGTCATGCCGCGCTGGGTCTCAGTGTCTGACTCACTTGATTTCCCACACTTCCTGGCTCTGGGTCCCAGGTTAAGAGGGCTTTGCTGAGGGTGCCAGAAGTCAACCCAGACTAGGGTTCTGGAACCTGTTCCAGAGCCCACCAGCATGACCTCCCATAACGCCATGCCCCCTTTCTGGTGATGCTCAGGGCCCTCCCTGGCTGAGCTGCACCGGAGCCACTTCCAGAAAAGCATCTGCTGGCTCTGTCCCATCATTGCAGGTCCACTGCCTCAGGGTCTGATGCCGTGCACCCATGCCCTTCCGCAGTCACCACCGAGACACCTAACGCAAGGGCCAGCAGCCCCCTCTCTCAGCTCCCCACAGCCTTCTCTCCCTGTCTCCAGGATGCCCACAAAGCCTGTCCCAGCAGCAGCTGAGGGTTTGGACAAGGAGCTCTCACCCTGCTTTTACAAACATGAGCTCATGGATCCCGCTGGCATTTCGGGGACATGGCAACTCTTCTTACCCCCTTTGTTCACAGGACATGGAAAAGGAAGGGAAGATAGAGAGCACTGAGCTCGCCACATCTGTCACTATGCCTTGTCACCTGATCCCAGGAATTCTGAGAGCTCCTTGTTCTCTTAACTCCACTGCAGCCTCATTTGGGGGAAATGTCTACCTGCCTGGCAATGATAGGAGAGGGAAGAATTCAGATGTCATACAGCAGCCAGAAAGGTTGCTGAAAGGCTGCAATTCTGAGCTGCAGAGATCCAGGGAGGATGTTATGCAGCCTACCAGATCTTGTTCCCCACTCTCCTATCCGATGACCCTTGAGGGGGAAAAACCTGCAAACATAGATCTCTTTTCCCCGCACATCTGACTCACTTGACCAGTTCATCTGCAGATTCCACAGCCACAAGGATGGCTGAAAGTTTGGAGTCCATGTGTTGACTTGGTATTGCCTACACTCTGGGCGGGAAAGGGGACCATGTCCACCAGGATGGGTGGGTTCTCCACGCTTGCACTGCGGTCCTGTGTGCCAAACACTGTGTTCCAGAGAAGCAAAAAGACAAATCCTCTTCCTATAGGACTGACAGTATCAAGGAATGATGGAAAAGCACGTGACTGGGGAGGACAGATCTGATCCCAGCTCGGCCTCAAACACTTGCCTTGACCTTGGGCAAGTCATTTCACCCCACTGAGCCTCCGTTTCCTCATCTTTCAAAGAAGGTAAGGTTTGATGCTGACAGAGGCCCAGTCTAGCTCTGATGTACTATAATTCTTTTTGATTTCCTCCTGTGTTCTGTAAGCTCCTTCATTGGATGGAAGGAAATCTTTTAAGTAGCTTCAGTGTTTGAAACATTTTCTCCTGCGCTAGATTTCTTCAGGCAGGGGATTGTGGATTCTGGGTCCAGTTTCCCATTTCCTTTCAAGCTGAATGATTGCTTTAGGTCAGCTGTTAACAAAATGGGGTCAAAGTCATCATTTCATCTGCGAGCTTTCTAATTCTCCAAGTAAACTGCCGCTCTAACCCCCTTTCAATAAGGGAAAAGCGAGGCCCCGGAGTGGTGAGCGTGGAGTCCACCCTGGAAAGATAATGGCAGTGTTTGTATAAGTAGCTTAGAAGTGAATTAACCTCCCCAAACACACGGAATGCTTCAACCCCCCTGCCCGTTATCTGGGCTTCGTTCTCAAATGCTACTGACCAGCTCTTCCCAACACAGGGAATGAGCAACTGCTTTAGTTTTGTACAAGTTGTATCAAAAGAAAGGATGCACAAGAAGAGCTCTTGAGATGTGCCCTCCACAGGACAGGGACTGGGTGGTCTGTGGGGTTGTCACCACTCCTCGGGGCCCAGGACTGGACGGGGCGGGTCTTTAGTCTTGCCCAATGATGTCCCTTGGTCAAACGGCCAAAGACCTCAGTAGGCTCAGGTTGCCCACTTATACCTGTCATTGCATCCCTCCTCAGAGTCTTGGCTTCCCCAACTGTCATACGAGGGGTCGGTGAGGAAGATCTTTGGGTAACCTGGTTCCGCGACACCTTCTGCTATTCATTTTCTCCTGAAATGTGTGGACCTCTGTCCTTTGGTCTCCCAGTGTTGATTTCTAGCTCTGACATGCCCCCACCCTGTGTGGGTCTCAATGACAGCGACTTCATACACACACAAACTGATACACACACACACGTACTCATGCACACATCCATGTGAGCCAGCCTGAGAGTCTGTTCCAGTGCCCAGGACAGTGCCTGGGCTATGGTAAAATGCACAATAAAATCTGTTGAATAAAAGCAACCCAAATTGTCTTTGTGAAACATGTGACTTGGGGAGTGTACAAGACCTTGAGCTTGTTAACCCCAGAAGGTCGCCCCTGACTCATGGTGTTGGGAGTGTATAATAAGCAGCAGCTCCCGCCCTGCCCCGATACACAAATGCAGTCTCACCGCAGCCTCAGGGGGACCCTGGGTCACTGCTCAAATCAGTCCCATTGCTGGGGATGCCTCCCCCATGTACCTATCTCCTCTCCCCCTGTTGAAATCCTACCCATCCTTCAAGGTCTCATTCAATACACCTCCTGGTGCAGCCTCAGCTGACGTAGTGAGTCAGAAAGTCAGAACTGTTCTCTCTCTCCTCTGCCCTCTCAGTGGACTTTGACCATGACATTATATTTTATTTGGGCCCGTACACCAGCCCGTGCAAAAGTATCAGGCAATGCCTCTCTCTGTCCAGCCCTGCCCTGCCTACCCCTTGCTATGTGTCTCTGGGTCCCTCCCAATAGCTCCAACACAGACTTGCACACAGTGATTGTTTAGAGGATGCCTAGGGAGGTGGCAAAGGCTCCGATGCTCCCAGGGGCACTGCTTGCATTCAGCAGAGCTGCTAAAAGTCCTAGGGCTGGCTGGTGGGGAGCATCTGTCCGGTTAAGTGGCCAGGCAGGCAGGGCCAGTATCCAGGCCCTGGGCAGAGGGTGGGCCCATCCTTACTTGGCATAGGCTTTCTCCAGCAGGCAGGGCCAGAACTCTTGTTTGTTGCAAGGCTCCACAAATAGGTACTCCTCGTTCAGGACAGGCAGGCGATCGTCAATCACCACTTCTACCCACTCGCCACACTGCCAGAACTGGAGGGGAGAGAGAGAGGAATACATGCCTTAGTAGAACTGTGGCAGGAAGGAGCCCCTGGCCACCCAGCCCAGGCCAAAAGAAAACCCCCATCACCACATGACCTCCACAACGCCACAACGAAGTCTTTCCAGAACAAAATCCCAGCCCAGGTCGGTGAACAGGGGACCAGCCTGTCATCTCCATGGACAGATGAGTCACAGATCAAGTTAATTAAGGAAAATACAGGCAGGGAGGAAGGGGACTTGGGTTCCAGCTGGACTTTGCTACAAACTCCTGCCTCACTTTGACAAGTCCTTTGTGAGCTTTCAACACATGGACCCCACAGGTCCACCTTGTGTACACAGTGGAGGTAGGGGGAGTGGATGCTGAACACCAAAGGAGAATGGGAGATGCAGAGTGTTGTGATGGGGAAGGAGAGTCTGCCGGGAGCTGAAGGTCTGAGGGAGGAGGCAGGATTCCAGCTGGAGACAAGGAGACAGGGAAGGCATCCCAGACGGCAGGGATGGTGTGGGCGGACGCCTGGAGGCCGAATGAACGGTGAGGTTGCTCAGGACTGAGCAGTTACAGCCTAGCTCTGGCCCTGCTCTCCTCACGACAAGCTGGCCCGGCCTTCAGAGCAGCAGGAATGAAGTGGGCTGGCGCTGCAACTGCTAACAGAGCAAACGAACCAGATGTTCCCCTCCGAAACAGACTATTTTCAGCCTCAGCATT